CACACTGCGGCCATAATAGCAGCATTGAGATGCCTCTTGAAAGGCTTCTATTCTTACCTGCATGAGGCCGCTCCCATATGTCAACGCACTCCCAGGGATGCCCTCTCCCTTAGGAGCACATGTGTTGGCGATCGCACGGCGGAGCCTGTTGGGGCTGGTGAAGGCATTTTGGGCCTTAAGGCCTGACAGGAGCAGCGCAACGCCCCCAGATGCATTGGGGGCAGCCATCGATGTGCCATTCATGAGTTTTCTCCTCTCCTCTGACCACTGGGGGACTGGTGCGACGGCACCGCCTGTCATGCACCCGTTACCAGGCATCTAAACTTCAATATCAGATGGCCGGTGCATTTGCATACACTAGGGCCACTGAGCTACACTGTTGTTACATGGTATAAGCAGGAACTCACACCTTGTCCCATGCTTGTGTGTTTGAACATGCAACTGGTGTTGCGAGCAAGTTGCCAAGATCTGGAGTTTACAGCAAATTTGTGTATACACTTAACCAATCTGTTGCGCCAAATGATTGGCTGTCAGAATTCACCACTTTCTTCCATATCTTTGTATAGCTATGTCATATTGCAAACAATCAAGCCCCTTGCTGTGTGTGGAAGAGACTACCAGGCAACAAAGCAACTTATTGGCAGCACTGTTCATCCAAACTCACGTTTGCATCACACAAAAAATTCAACAATACAATGCACAGATACTTCTGCTGGCATAAACAAAACATTTCTTTGCTTTTTTTGGGTGAATCCAGGAATGAACAACCATTCTGCCAACATTTGTCCAGATTCTGTACGAGGCACAACAATGCAAATGACGATGATGGCTCACGGACTCAGAAGCAGCCACACCCACAAGACAGCTGAACTCTGCTGATTTCAAGACTGTGCACACATTCAACACTCCCCATCTGGCACCGGTTCAGGAGCATCATCTGTAGAATGAGGCAGCACAGAATTCCTGCTCATCAATTTACAAATTGCAAACAACTTCTGCATCATTTGTCACAGCATGACAATGCGCCTAGCCGCATCTCTGCCAACAATTGAGCAATGTCGCACCTGGTGCAGCGAACGATGGGCCTGTCGCTCCATCGGCACAAGGCCCCCTGGATGTGAAGGTGTACTGCTGACCATCGGGGAGCACTTCACGCAGCGAGTGACCGGCAGCGCCGGACTGCATAGCGTCAGAGTGATCTGATGCTGGAACAGTCCCACTTGCAAGGGGCATATCTGCCAGATGAGCATCAACAATGCTGAATATTAATGACAAGAACTGTTCTGGACAAGAATTGTTATTGAGTCAAAGACATGTGTTGCTTGACCTTGTGTGGCACCGCATGGCATGTAACGGACAACAGTCTAGCTCAGTTCACAGCTTCTATGACCATCATTAAAGATTGCCGACCAAGGCAACTCATCTTGGCAAAGAGGAAGGCCTGTCACGTAGTTGAGACAGAAGCCGATGGCCTGCATAGTTCTTTTCATGGAAAGCTGCTCCATTCCATTCACCTTTCGTAGAAGAACAGCAGCTCAGGACCATTCAGACAGCATGCAGCAAGCTTGCATCCTCAGCACGTATTGTGCCCCGGTGGCTTCAAGGCGCCACCCACCTGACCTTTCCATTAGCTAATTGTGGCCTGGAAAGTATTAGCAGATGGATATTGCACTTTGCAAGAGGACGTGCATGGTTGCCTAGGCAGTTTGTGTGGAGCAGGGGCTCCAAAAGGGGCTCATGAATCCCAAGTTAGGAGTGCACAGCCCCTTCATCAGAGGTGCATGCAGTGTAACACAATGCAGTTGGATGGCTCAGCTGGTGATCATTGTTGTATTTACCCATTCAACTACCAACACTTGCAGCACTCACATCATTGGGGAAATTCTGCATTCACATGTTCGTGTTGGCTTTCTTGGTTTCAGCGCCAATACAAAGTGACCTCAGGGAAAACCATCATCCAGATAATGCCATAGCAAAGCATGACAAGTAGGTACAATGCTGCGGCACAAAACAGAAACAACAAGCAGAAAACAAAGGCGCTGGAGATCACCTGGTGCCCCCATTGATGTCAATCCTGGTCCGTTGTTCCCAGCAGCGGAGCAGAAGATCACACCATGCTTGTACACCAAGTCGCTGATGGTGTCAATGATCCGGCCTTCATTGGGGAAGGCTGTCACCTCCCCATAGCTGTGGTTGATGATGTCCACCTTGTTTTCGATCGCAGTGATCGCTGCCCGGGTGAGCCCAGCTCCCGTCTCCAGAATGCCAGCAGAATTTAAGCGGTTATCGCCGATCTTGCAGCCCACGATTTGAGCACCTGGAAATGCCACAAGCGATCCTTGAGATGTTGGCTTCGCCAGAGCAAAGCAACTCAGGACTGATGAACTAAATGCTGATAAAATTGCGACCAAATTAAGCACAATGCAACCTACATTTTTGGAATCGAAAGAAAACCAGAGCTCAAGGAAGGAGAGAATGAGTCATGCAATGGGTGCCCCGGTCCCATACAACGTGTTCAATCAAACATCACAGTAGAATGCCAGCTTGAAGTCACCTATGGGTATACAAAGATGAGTCACACACATGCAGTTCTTAGCTTCATCGGATTCCTTGCAAATCATCAGTTAGTTGGGCACAATTCGCATTCCAGTCCTTTCCCATGCTTGGTGATATGGTCTAATGGTCAACAGACACCATGTCACAGAGAATGCCAGATGCACAAGCCAGTCTGACTGTAAAGAACTTGATCATGTGTGCAAGTCCCTTGCAATGCAGCCATGATGACTTGAGGGATCTGGAGTTTTCCCTGTGCATGGTCAATGAGCACATTGTAGGCTGCAAGGAATCAGATGCTCTCTGAAGCTCCAAGAACAGAAGGGACATGTGAATATACAGTGTCTCATATCTTCAAGTTGGATTCAAGGATGCATTCATTCATCAGTCCCTTAAGGGACTAACCAACAGAAATGACCAGGCTCTGTGTCTCTGATTCATACTTCTGCCTTTCGATTCTAAAAATGACAATGCCCTGGTTCCGGTTCTCACAAAATTCTGATTCTGGAAAGAGCAATTGAAGAAATGTCAGCAGCGCATCACCCAGCTTGCCTGAATGGCCCCTCAAGGAGATCAACCTATATTTTGCAGCAGTGCACATTTTCAAATGTAAATATCTCACAACTTGCATGTAGCCAATTGCCCTGCTTCCAAGGGAAATTAAGATCGTTATTTCACCTGGAGCGATGCCGTTCATTGATGGGTCCTCTGGGTGGAAAGCAGACACGATGCCTGCAACGTGGGTACCATGCGAGTGGCAGTCCACAGCAATTGACAGCACATTCCCGTCATCGTAGATGTTGCAGGCAAAGTTGCATGCATCCACAGCACTGAATGTGCCATACTTGCGCTCTGTTCTGAAGTTGGTGAGTGGCTCAAAGTCAGCAAGGGCACCCTTGCCTTCACAGTCTTCCAGCTCTGTTGTGTCGAGTGCCACACGCCAACAATCGCCATCGTTCCAGACGACACAGTCCACGGCTGGACCTGTCAGCAGGCCAGGGGCAATGGCCACAGGCAAGTCAGTCACTAACGCCAGCCACGATTCAGATATGATTGGGACATCTTGATAGGCAATAACTTGTTTGGAACATCAGTGAGAGCATCAAGGGCCAAAGCTGAAAAACTGTGCTCTCCACAGTGGAGGTGATGCCACTGTCACTGGCACAAGCGACAAAGGTGTCAGACTGATGGGCAACATCTTCCACCTCCCCAGATGTCACAGTGCACCAGCTGCTGAAACACCATCAACGCATGGGATCTCCACAACGTGGTAACATGGAAACTGACAAGTGCCATCCTCTGAAGAGCACAGCACACACCCTTTGTTCACTGTGGTTTAACACTGCAAGGGGCACCTGGGTCATCTACTTTATCCATCAGCTGCTGAAGCAGCTTCACCCTCGTCTCCAGCTCAGCCTTCTGTTTCTTCTTCTCATCTTCTTCAGCTTTTGGATTCTCACGCTCAAATTCGGCAAGGGCTGCACTGGCAGCAGCCACAGCCTGCCGTTGGCTCTCATTCAGAGCCTTCGATCGATGCTGCTTCAGTCGCTTCACAAGAGCACCTGGCAAGACCTCATAGAGGCGCTTGACACCAACCCTCCACTCTCCTGCAAAGGGGATCAGGCATGTGTTGCACTTTTCTGCAAAAGCTGAAAGCCCAGGGATATGGAAAACTGTAATTTGTTGCCTGTTTGCCTGACAATGCACATATACTACTGCTGTGCAGTTTGACAATCCGTTCAACAGGACATGGTTTGGGTGTGGAATGTGAATATGGGGTTGCCCGTCAGCAATGCTGACAGATGGCTCACAAGTTGTAGCATATCACCATTGCAACACAATCAACGCTGTTGTCTGATTCCCGTCCAGAGCATTCCATTCTGAAGACCCAAAACACCATCCCATGACCGATGGTGCATCTTTGAACAGGTGTGTACATGGTGAAGCAGAGCCTGCTCTTGGCACAGCAGTTTGCCACACAGCACACAGGGCGATTCTACAAAGGCAACTGTCCATTTCACATCCATCAAATATCGGGAATATTGAAACTCATTTCAGCAGCTGACAGGTATATCAACACCATTATTTTGTTCACTTGAGGATGGAGATAATGACCAGCACCCAGACCGATCAAGGCAGTCGATTTCCCGGCAAAGAGGCATGCATTGGCCCGCCGAAACACACCACGTTTGCTACACAAGCTCACCAGATGGATTTTCCCATGTTGGATTGGGCTTCAATTTCTTGCCCGTGCGCCCAATGATGTACCCATCGGCATCAATGCTCACTACCTTGGAAGTGTCCACGTCGCCGTCACCCGTGGCGTCCACAATGTCGATGACTTTGGGCTTCCCATCGCTGGTGACCTGCAGCCCCGCAGCGCCTGAAACACAGATGCACATGCTGGAGCCCTCAACGCACAACCGCAAACATCGTGGACCCTGTCGTCACTCGATAGGTTCAAGTGCCAGAATCGATGACGTGGTTGATTGGCGACTTGGGATGTATTTGCCAAGCCATGTGAGGCAGTTGTGCAAGCCAGCGATCCCCAGCCAATGCCACCCGGAAGCTGGTGCCGCCCCCAGCTGCAAGTGGCGTCGACGGTTCTCGCGGCGATTGGGTGCGATCCACCGCTGGTCACCTGGGTCGATGCCAGTGTCAAAAATGGCCACAACCACTCCTCTGCCGTCGAACTCGGGATGATCCTGCGGGGGCGATGGGACGTCAGCAAAACCGTTGCGCCGCATCGAGACGCGCCCGATCACGGAGCATGGCCCACCGCATCGCAAGAACGATTGCCAAAGACGGCACAGGCAAGGTGCCAGGCCGGGCGGTCGCGGCACGGGTCCATCCCATGCACCCCCAATCGAGGAGCACGTCCCCCTGGGAAGGCGACAATCGAGATCAAGGCCCGCACCGGCAGCGACAGTGCATCCCCCACAAGCGACCATGAATGCCCAAAAGAAGTCAAGCTGCAAATTTTGGGAAATGCCCCTCCAAACAACAAGATTTCGAACCATTGCCACCCCACACAGGACAGACAGCTCGGCATTCTGCAGGCCCAACAATGCATGGCTCTTCAGCCAAGCCGCCGCCTCGCCTTCAGCAGCCTCAGCGCGCCGATCTCCTCCTTCGGCATCGCGCCCGCGAAGAAGCTCACGTCCGCCCCCGCCCTCCCGCCGTCCACCATCTCAGCGATCTCCGGCCCGCCCAATGCCCCGCTGCCGCCCGCCCCCCGGGCGGCCCTCCGGATCTCTCGCCGGATGCACCCGTCTCGCGAGCGCCCCGCCGCCTGGGCCAGGTCCTGTGCCCCGGGGCAGCAGCGCCGCGCTCCGAAGACCAACAGCGCGCGCTGCGGGAGGGCGCACTTCAGAGAGGCGCAAGCCATCAGCCGGGACAGGGGGGGCCCGCCCGGTCTAGGAATGCCTGGAATGCGGAGGCGGAATGTGCTGACAGTGGCTGGGCGTGACAAACCGCAATCCTCGCACACCGACGGGTTGGAGGCCCCATGGCGCATGGTGCCTGGAGATCGGTCCTGTCACAGAACCGATCAGGGGTGCCGCCACACAGACGCGCGTCTGCGCTGGCCGCAGGACTCCTGTGGTCATCACGCATCTGTGTGGCAGTAACTAGCGCGCCTGTTGAGGAGCCCGTCATAAGCAGAATGTCGTCCAAGAGTCCTGGACCAGGACCGCCAGACATCACAGGCTGCCCACGGAGTACTGTGCATCATGGACAGCATGCCTGGCTCAATTGCTGAAGCTGATCAGCTGCACAGCATGATCTTTGTCTCTATGGACATGTGTTGTGTCACAGCATTAGACTATGTCCTCTGTATCTACATCTCTCCCCCTGCACAGAAACGTCATTTTAAAAAGCTTGAAAGCATGATGAGAGCATTCGTCGATAATGAATGTGTTCTACATTCCTCATGAATGTGTTCTACATTGTTCTCCTACCCATATGCCCATGGTGGGAAGAAGAAATCTGGGTTCGAGTCCATGACGTCTTTCATGATAATTGGACAACGTTCTCTCTTCCCTTCTTCAACGCTTGGCAGCTGTCCATCCCAAGTCTTCACTGGCCTATGGTGTGGTGACATCCGGTATGTATTCATGTGTCGGCCATGAGCCAGCCATTGGATGACATGGTACAATGAACAACGGCACACTGAACAATTGATTGATTGATTGACTACTCATTCACTAGTGGATGGAGGAAACCAAGTGTATGTTCATTTACCAATATCTGGCTTGTCGTGCACTTCTTTGTTGTGATGTGAATTTCATTGTTCTGTTGAATGTGGTATGATGGTTCCACTTTCCGCCCAATTCATGCAGATGCCAAGGTGATTGCATTTTGTGTCTTTGTTGTTCATAACCATCCGTTCCAAAACAACATTCGCCTTATACATGACATCACACTTCTTTTGTCCAAGATTACTTATTGTCTATGACTTTGGGGTATGACTTCTCCATCTTACCGGCATCACTTTTCAATGGAATTTCAACCAAGCTCATGTTGATGAGTATGCTATTAAAATTTCGGGTCAATCTAATAAATATTGAGGACTTGGCAGTACTTTGCAGCAAGGGTTCTCTGGCCAGAAAACGGTCAGTTTTCAACGTGGCTGCGAAAACAGCCGTTCTGCGCCATTTTGAGGAGCACATACTTGCGACAGTGAAACAAAGCCGCCCGTGCAATACTATTCACACTGTCCGGAGAGAAGGTCACCGCGGTGCCTGCAAGAGGTACGGCCATAGTAAACACGTTTTGAAATCGTTGATCGTCAAACTCGCAGTGGCTTATGCCTGGAATTTCAAGCTCGATCCAGCGGATCGGAACTATGATCCGGGCCCATAATTCTGGACCAGGATTGGGTTTCGTGGTCTCCATCGCCACCATTAGGGCAGCCACGGGAGGTCCCCCTTCCTCTCAACAAGGCGCAAGACAAAGTGGTGGCCATCACCCCAATCAATCGCGGACAAGTAGTGAATTGACCATTCTGATGGTAATCGCCAGTTGACCTTGTTTTGGCACTTGAAATGATTGTGGGCTAAGAGAATGGCTGGAAGCGTAAAGTCCTGTCGTTTGGTGAGGGCGAGACTCAACAGGCTGTGATGGATTTTGTGCGGAGGCAAGAATTGGCCGTTGGGCGCCGTTTGGGGATTCTGAGCTGAGTTGCACACAAAAGCCTCGATTCCAGCATCGATTGAGGCACAGTGTCCAAAAAAGGCTACAAAGCAACCTTGGAGACACAGCCCACACTCCCAACCCAGCCTTCGCGGCTTTGTACCTTGGACTTTTCAGCTCAGTAAGGTCCGCACACGGGAGATTGAGAACATCGCGGATTTCCTGCATCTTCGTTGCCGCGACAATGGCCACCCTCGAGCAGGGTCCAGGCGACGTTGAGTGGGTTTGGCAAGAGCTACGCCGCGTGCTGGATGGCCACCTTCGCCATGGCAGTGGCATCCACTGTCGTTGCTGCCTGCAAGCACAGGAGCGGCCCAGAATTGAGGGCTTCTCCGGGAACGCGGAATCTGGACAGGTATTTTTGGGGCCAACCCAAGGCAATTTTCGAGGCTGCTCACGGGGGTGACGGTTGACTATTTTTCCTTGAAAATTGGAAGCTAAGGGTTTTTCAGACCCAATCTTTCCGATTCTGGCCTCCCTTCTAAATCTGAAGGCTAATTTAATAAAGAGATGTCCCATTCAAATGGACGACAATCAATCCTGAACGGAGAAATTATACTAATATGATTGATAATCATGTACTTCTTGTCTTGAAAATCGAAACAACGCTCTCGTTGTACGCATATGTGACGTGCCCATTACCTTCATGTACAACGCTCTTCAAAAATAGCAAACACATGAGGAAGCAGATGTGATGCATTCTCTCCTTTCTTACTGCGCTCAGGCACTTTACAGGACAATGGTAATTCTGTGAAGTGGCATTCCTGCCACTTTGTGGCCTTTCTTATGCTCAGCACTTTACAGCACAGTGGCACCGCAGTGAAGTGCCATTCCTACCATTTTCTTGCCGTATTAGAGCCTGCAGAAATCGTGTGCTGCTTTAATTCTTGACTGTGCTCACGTTGAGTGGAGTTATAAGTTGAATATGATCGTGTTGCCGTATGCGAACTTGTGGATATTGTGTGCTATTCTAATTCTTATTGTACTCAACGCTAAGTATCCTGTAAAGGTGGTGTCTTGTTTTGATTCTTGATTGTGCTCAACGCTGAGTAGAGTGAACGCTTCAACACGCTCATGTTGCTGCTATAGCGCCTGACCTTGTGAGATGAGTTGTGCAAGGGCGAGGATTCCACATATGATATATCTTCCTGTACGCACAAACTGTACTTGCAATTTGCATCAGTGCGAATCAACTCGGGAAGTGAATGGCAGCCAACCACGCAAGAAATGTGCGATGGGGAAGAGGTGCCAATTTGCTTGCCTGGAAGGCACAGATTCTGAAGGCAAGTGCCATTGGTTTCACAAAGTTAGTGCAATAGCGAATGTGCGACAATCATCATGTCTCGCTCTTCATTTCCTTTCCTTGCCCTTCTCCAGCTTCTCCCTTGGGGTTTGTAACAAGAATACTTAACCCCACCAGTCTAGACCCCCACACACTTGTTGAGTTGTATTGAACAAATGCCCTCGACTGCGGCATACACCATAAGAGGTACTCGTGAGTGTAATGGTCGATAGTCAGCGTCCATCAACCTCTTACCAACAATAACGCAAAACGAGGCGTTCATGCCCGCCAAAGATGGAGCGCAATTCGGCACCGGCAAATCCCGTCACCACTTGTTGGCTGCCTTCTCAACAGTTTCAATATGCGCGTCACTGGCAGTTCAGAACTGCAGGATCACACCACGCTGCACAAGCACCCCAACACACACAAGCAAGGAATAGCAGCTCGTACTGTACGGTACGCACACACGTGTCAGACAGATCTAGATCGATGCAGATCTGCTTCGTGGAACACGGCCTGCCCTGACGCTAACTCGTGTGGAGCCTGGTGCACCATGTATGTCAGCCAGATCTGCTTGGGCCACTCAGATCTCGCGCAAAGTCCCAAAATATGCAAGTAACGCATGGGCTAATTAATTGCCATGATGATATAGGAAACCGTCGCTTATTGTCAATATTGCGGTTGATTCTAGGACTTGACAAATATCACAATTTTAAAGTTGCTTCACGATTTTCCAACACATTTTGAGCTACGGGTAGGGCATGCAATGTGGTAATTGAATTTCAAACACCCCATTCGACAGCACATGTCGCTGAGCGTGATGCACTACTCGCTACAAACTTCTATCCACCAGCAGAAAAAGAACCAAATAGCACTTTTTGCGAATACATATGAAACGTGTTTATCAAGGTTCTGCACGCTAAGAACACAAAAAACCCAGACCTTTAAACATTGTGCACGTTTGAACAAGTGTTATCTGGCCCTTTTTTCCTAGTGATCTTGGTTGTTGCAGATGTCTCAGCGGCGCTTCTGCAACGCCCGCAGAAAACAAACTTTGCACTCAGAACTCTGTGCTACTATCCACAATGAAGCATCACGTCCACAGATTATCTCACTCTTGATTTTGTGTGGCCACCACTGGCAAAATATGGCAATGAAACGGGGTCCAATATGTGCTGAAATGAGACCAAACAGTGCATTTTTATGTTCAAATAGACATCTTGGCCCCTTTCAGCACATGTTAAGCACAGTAAAACTGTGACAAAAATGGACGGTCCATTTGGCGGCTCAGGGTGCCCTGGCCTGCCTTCGTGCTGCGTGATCGCTCACAAGGAATTCCTTTCGAACGAGTCGAGGTTCGCGCTTGCAACGGTGGAGGCGCACCGTTGTTATTCACAGGGCCATCCACTGCAATCGCGCAGGTGCATTGATAGAAAGACCGAACAGCTGGTTCAAATGTCTCTGGTGGTCCCTCTCGGCGCCAAGAGGCGGTTTCGCGGTTTCGGGACTCTACAGGAGCCATGGCGATGAGAGATATTGCTGATTGCTCTCCGCGGTTCAAGAGATGGCAAAACTTTTATGAAGGGCACGCGCCGACACCACAGAACTGGTTCCCGACTGCAGCATCTCATCGATAGAACTGTTGGGATATTGTCGTTGACGCAATGAGGATGCCCATGTCTCTCTGGAGATAAAATTTGATGAGGGTCGCCGATACAAGCTGACACAAAATTCAACCTTGTTCTCACGATCTAGACCCATGTCATGCCAGGGACATCAACGCAGCGAGCAATCCATCTATCACAGTTGCCATATTTCCGCATCAGTGGATCCCCCAATAAGCTCGCTTTTCACGCAGGCAGCGTCCCGCAAAATTTTGAAGGGTTCTTTGAGACTGCGGCCAGCAGCAGATTGAACTTAATGAGAGATTCGCCATCGCCTATTAGTAATCATTGTTCGCCTGTCCGCCAATCGCAAATCTGCGCCGCTGTCCGTCGGCAGGTCTAGCCCTTTAGGGAGCTTTGCAGCTTGGTGGCGAATGGCGTCAACAGTAGAATTTTACCGCTTACAACTGCGAGGAACCCGAGTCCAAAGGCGTCCCAAATAGGGCATGTTGCCCCCTCAAACAGGTGACATGAGCGCCTCGTCCTACTGGCGGACGGACTGCACTGACTACACCCGCGGCAGCCAGTAGAGCACTGGGCGATAAATCCGCAGAGCGAGCGGACCATCGCCACCAGCCCGCGGTGACGGAAGGCACGGTCCGCCCATGGGCCGCTGGACCACGTGCTCGCGGCTGCTCGTGCTTCTGAGGACATTTCCGGAGGCCGTGATCGCCTTCGCCCTTCTTCCAGCCCATGCGCATTTGAGTCGTCCGCCACAGGGACACGCTGACGAGGCGTGCAACCAGATTGTTGCGTGCGTTGAGATTCGGTGGCCGCAACGGGCGCCGGAGAGTGCTCGGCGACCTTGTCATCTCAGTAATTACTCGTTATAACGAAATGGAGGCGTGCCTGAGCGCCCAATACTATGCGCTTGCTCCTCGGACCAGCCATGCATTCTGTCGCTCTTTTTTGATGGGAAACGAGGCCGCTTGGCTGGCGCGGACAGCACGAGTCACAGCGCGGCGCGGCACGCAAGATGTGTTGGCTGGTGGCTGGCGATGGTGTCCTTGTAGTATTCGCAGTCGTTGGTCGCTCTTCGATCGTCAATAGGCTTCCAGGACGGTTCAGGACCAAGCTGTGACGTGCATTATCGGCTCGCTGTTGAGCTCTCGACACGCATGTGGCGAGGGGGTGGGCGTTTGTTCCAATGTGCCGAAAATTGGGCCGCAAGACCATTGGCGAATTTCCGTGCATGGCGATGGTCAGCTGGCCGTGTGAGAATTTCCGATAACGGATATGATCCGCTTGCCACGCGCCCAAGTAGCAGGCTTGGCGCGGAAGGTGGACGCAGGCGCGGCATGTCGCGTCGACCTGGACGTGCACTGCGTCAAGCTGGCAAGTTTCAGTGTCTGGTGACAGCCTGTGGGCGCGTGCGCGATGCCAGAGTTGCACGTGTCGATTGATTGGCGAGTGTGGAGACGGAGGGAGCCAGGCGTTTGGACCCCCCTGTGCTGCGTCCGTGGCCGCGTACGCCGGCGCTCGAGTCCTCTCCTCCGGAGCGCGAGGGCTGCAGGCTGGGGGGATGTTGCAAGATCGTTGGTGGCCGCCCTTGTTGCTTTGATGTGGGAGGCGTGCAGCGATGGTGCCGCAGCCCCCGGGATAGAGAATCGTTTCCCTGGACATTACTGCATTCGTGACTGGTTGCCACTTTGATAGCAGCCGCCCGTTGAAAGTCCCCATCAGGTACCCATGCAGACGACACTGCTCGGGTGACCCGGAAGTTGTGACAACATAGCGGAACGCTCATGTCAAAGCGCCCCTTCTGCAAGGTGGTCACATCGTAGAGGTGTGTTCATGAACGGACAGGAGCCAGCCCACGTCTGTTAATCAATTGCTATCTGATTTGACATTGACGGCCGCGACAATAGTCAACTCGCTGTTCCAGGTTGCAAAATACCAGGTGCTCACAACATTGGCAGCAGATTCAGAACCGCGGCTGCACATTGGAGTACCCTATTGCTTCTATGCAATTTTTGATTCATGGGCAACAGATTCGGTTAATGGTACTAGATGTACATCTCGTTTAAATTGTTGAAGAATTACCTTTTTGAGTGAATGCGAATGGAAATGTGCATGGCGGCACAGTGCAATTGCTAGCACATTATAGGAGTCTTTATATTTGTGTGCCGACCTCTTGAGGGTGCAAAATTTGCAGACCAGCTCTTGGCGTCTGTGCATCCAGCCAAAAGTGCCAGCCAACCATGCTTTGGCCAGGGTTTTCGCGCCCTAGCACCAGTCCATGTTTGCCCCTCGGCGGCCACATTCTGCAGCAAGGAAAAATGTCTTGCGCCCCAGCCGAGCTCATGGACTCCCACCCACCCACCACCAGCCCCCTCATGCATGTCTGCACTCACAAAGCACCTGCCCCAAACCCGGAGAAAAATCCGAGGTGGTTACACTTCGAAAGCTACAAAGCTGCGGATCCTAAACCACTGGATCGTCCCCGTAAGGGAAGACACTATGTCGATTTGAGTATGCTTAGAGTCAATTTAACGTTGAGGGCCCCCCCTCCCGTCGATCTTTATGTGGATGCCAGGATGACTCAACAACCTCACACAACAGAGCTACATAATTTCAAGGTGTTTTTAAAGAACATAAACTGCCAAAACTGTAGCGATTGTACTGCGCTGGAAAACGTTATGATGAATGCCAATTCAGATGATTGGGGCAGCCCCAATGGCTGTCCACTTGGGGTATTCTGAGGTCTTCATTTAAGTTTGAACGCTTGAGTTCTTTTTTCTTTTTTTGGGAACAAGTCACGAGCCGCCTGCCTTGGATTAACGGCGTTTTGTATATCTTCATACCTGATGTCGAAATCGTGTCAATTGCATAATCTCTTAGCGTCACAGGTTTAGCCCCCCCCCCCCTCTCCCCCAGCGTCAAATTTACGCTAAGCGTACTGGTTTCGACATAGTGCCTTCCCAAGGGCACCCAGAAGTGCCAACAAGGCCAGGGTGTCCCACCATGCACAAACACCGATACAGGGAGGCTTAGGGTTTAGGTTTGGTTGGGTTTAGGGCTTAGTTTTTGTAGGGTCCAGATGTTGGCCTTGCTACCGGTGTGGTGCCCCCATATCGGCAACGGCCTCCCCCAGTCCGCTACCATCCAGAGGCATGCCGCGAGCGGCGTACGCACTCACAACCAAGCAGCCCCGTGCGCGTGGCCCTCCTCTCCGCTCCTCCCTCCCTCTCCTGCTCCTCTGCGCTGCTCTCCTTCATCGCATTGCCGCCAACGCCGATTCCTCCGACGCATCTGTGCAGGCCATCCACCGCGACGAGTCCGACGACCTGCACGTACCGGATTCCGTGTCGCCCAGACGGGTGGCGCCGATCGACCCGGCGGCGTTGGCACCTCTTGGGCCGTGCTCGGCGCAGGGTAGGCGCATCACAAGCAGATCCCGATCGCCGGAGTGCAAGGAAGGCGACTTCGGGACATCACTCAATCTTGGGGTGACTGGTGGGGAGGAGGAACGGGAGTGGCGACTGGAGGATGGGGGCGAGCGGGGGGGAAGGGCGGGGGAGGGATTTTGCGGGCCAAATGGGGAGCAGATCAGCGACAGGCGGTGGCTGGCCAAGATGCAGAATGCCGGGGTGCCGCCCTGGGTTGCGTGGGTCAGGTCGGGGGTGGCTTACGGGCTTGGGTTCGTGACGGGGTGCGGCGCTCTGCTGTGGGCGCTGAGGAGGGCCGGCGGGGGGGGGAGGAGGAGGCGGGGGAGGAGAAGGGGTGTGGCGGGCAAGCGGCGGCAGCGCGAGGAGTTGAGTAGTCCTGGGAGGTGGCCCGCGCTGGTGTGCAAGAGGAGGCACCGAGAGGGGGGGGCGAACGGCGAGAAGAGAGCGCAGGGGCCGGCGCCGCTCGACCGGGGGATCGCGGCGGGCGACTACGACTCGTGGGAATTGATCGACGACGCCGGCCGCGCCTCGTCGGGGCAGGGCTGCCGGCTGCAGCCCTCACGGAAGCATCTGAAGGACGGCCAGGAGCGTGATTGGGCCCCCGTGGGCGGCGCCGACGAGAGTGGGGCCGAAATCGGCGGGTGGTGCACGGAGAGCGGGAAGGGTGGGCTGTTCTGTGAGGAAACGGGACCTTCCTGCGGTGCGCAGTCCAACGACGGTTTCGAGGGCAGGCACCCTGTCTGGGCGGTGCCAGGCGCCCCCAACGGCAGCTACCCCGCCTTCCTCTCCAACTCCGAGGCTTCGGTGCCCCCCTTTGGGTCCGCCAAGTTGATTTTCCCAGCCAACGAGGCGCGGTCGAACGCAGCCCGGTGCTTTGCGTTCCAAGCCGGTCCCGAGGCGCAAGGGGGAAGGCAAGCGGGGCGCAGGAGGGCGGGGGGGCGCAGGGTTGCGTCGCCGGCCCTGATGGGTCCCAGCGGTGGGCGAGCCGCGGCGCGGGAATCTGTGGCGGCGGGATCGGCCGCCTTTTCGAGTGTGCTGGAGGCGCCGGGCCTTGAGCTGAGCGGGGGGCTTTGGAGCTCGGAGAGCGGGGGCTCGGGCGGCAGGGCGCTGAGGCCGTCCGAGGCGTCGCAGGGCAGCTCCGTGTCCCTGCAGGAGCTGCAGGCGATGCAAGAGACAATCGACAGGCTGACGGAGGTCATGGAGACGATGGTCCGCCCGCTGACGGCCCTGGCATGGTAAGACTCGTAACAAGAAGAGAAAGAAACAGGTCATGCAAAGGGGACGCCCTCCCAGGCCCTCCAAAGCCCTACTGGCATGGTGAGGCGGCGCGCCCGCTGGCGTTTGGGCCAAAGTGCAAGCAAAGGAAAAAGATAGGGCTTTCATTGACATGCGGTTCCTCGGTGAGAGCGTGCCTTGTACCGATTGAGGAGGCCGCAAAAGTAATTGCCCAAGAAACCAATGGTTGTCCACAGCCAAGAGCCCAGGCAACGGACAAACGGACAACAACTGTCTGACTGCGCTGCCCAAATTGACAAAGAACTGCTCTTGCACCTTCCAGGTGTTGGTGAGTGCCCTTAAAACCTTCCTCCATCACATGCATGTGGTATCCTACCTGTTCATCAACTGCCAATCATTGTTCTCGGCTGCTACTCTTGTGCATCCAGGTGTGGCAACCAGCTGGCCCTGCACACACAGTGGATTGTACCTCAAGTGCAGTCCATGGCTTCTGTTGCAGCCTGGTTTGCGGCCAAAGAGAATGAAAAGGAGGAGTGGCTTGGCCTTGTGGACTATCTCGCTTGGGGCACCATGGTGATGAACTTGGCACTGCTGGTGTGTGCTGTGTGCTTCGGACGGTGGCACGACGTCCTGGACTGCTCTGTCCACTGGCGATGGTATCAGATGGGCAACAGCGCACGCCAGGTGCTGTGGTGCTATATTAAGGAGCCAGGTAATTGAGTTCAAAATGTGGCATCTATTGGAAGGGTTCTCCAGATGCATTTGGCATGCGGTGCACGGCCAATCCCTAGCAGCAGATTGGGGGATGATGGGCAAGAAATATCTGGCATTTCGATGCAAGGCCATCCCACAATTCGTTCATGAAATGTAGCGAATGTTGTGAATACACGCTTCTTCAGTGGCAAGTCGGCTCTGAAAATTTTGCTTCTCTTCTCAACAGAGAGCATGTTTAGGATTGTTTGTTTAGGATTCATGGCGCTCAGTTGCTGTGTGTCTCGGCGATTTCCCACCAGGCGCACGGATTCCCCACACATTGTCATTGTTGCCAGCCACACCCAACCTGTCCAGATGCGAATCCTCTGGACCCAGCGGGGTCAGCTTTGACAACTTCACTATCAGATCCCATCAAGTCGATGTCGCTTGCTTTTTCCAGGTCTTTTTGTTCTTGGTGGCTGGGGACTCTTCAAAGGGTGGAGGGCTCTGTCCAGGTGCCTGCTCAGCCGCTCACGCCCGCTGGCGATGCCACTGCTGTTCACATCCCTGGCCCTGTGTGGCGCTGTGGTCAGCGCGTTGGTGTCCTTCCTGGGCGGTTCGTGGACTGTGGCAGCAGTTCTATGGGGCGTGTACTGCACATTGAGCACTGCTGGCTTGAGGAGGGCCCGCGCACAAATGCATCGCAGCAAGGCGGCCTCATCGCACAGCACCTCACCTGCAGGAGGCCCTCGGGGGCGGACTGGCGTGCTGGGGAGCCTGCTGGATGGCGTCCTGTTCCCCTTGACGATGTCCTTTCTGCTGCCCTTGGTGATGGGCATATTGCCATTTTGGGACAAGGGGGTGTTGGATGCGCTGCAAGGCTGGTTGGGCGCCCGACGTTGGGAGTACTGGTGACGTTGGATTCCTGCCAGCCAGAGCCTCCCTGCTGAAGCCAGAATCCTTTTGCTGAGGACCTGTCTCTCATTGTCCGGTTGCATGTGGAAGAGGATCCAATGTCCATCCCAACATGACGGAATGCAGTGCTGGGGCAAGGGGAGCGACTGTTGTTTTGGGTAGATAGCAATGTACATTTATTGTGTATGTTAAGAGAAGATTTGGAACAACGCACACTGTTTATGCACACACAGCGGACAGAATCTCACAAAACCACTCACTTCGCAGGTATGCACTGCGAGGCTCCGTAGCGCCACCTCGTGGCCGATGCTTGCCCTTGTGGATTGTCTGGGGGCGCCCCCTTCCCCCTCGCCCACGCAGAAGGGGAGGTTTGTGCCTGTGGGCACTTGCCTGCGCTGGGGCAGCGATATCACGGCCTTTCTCCGCACAATGTGTTGGGCTGTTTTCTTCATTTCGGGTATGTCGCTGGTCGCCAATGCAAGTGCATGATGTGGTCTGCCTGAAGCGCAGGCGGGCGGCACACGGTGAGCATTAACACAGGCAGCCACTGGCTTCAAGGTTCATCGTCGAGGAGACTGGGCTCTCGATCGACCCACGCTGGAAGCGAAAACACAACAACACTTTCTGAAACGTGAAGCTTCGCGCTGCGCTCTGCCTGGATAGATCACCTGGGAATGCATGATGTCTCTGATGGGGGCGTGAAATATCAACAGGTATGATGTTGCTGGGGTACGATGTGTTGCAGCACCAAACATCGTGTACTCGGCGCAAACGGGCGTAGTGCCAAGGGTGTTATTGAGGCCGAAGTTTTAGGTGCGCCCCAGGGGTACTTCGTCCCAGCATATCGAGCCGTCTTACAATACTGCTGCAGTGCTTGAATGCACGCTCGAATGCTTTGAAGTGCACAGTCTAAACCGCAACCCCTGGTTGCCCCCTGCGAACACCAGGAACGACGTCCCAAAAGCACAGGCCTGGTGCTTGCAGTTAGTATTCAGCTCCTTGACAAATCTGGGGAGGGGATTGTGCGAAATGACAAATAAACCGCTTCTGGGGATTCCTACAACAGCACGAGGGGAACCAGGTCGATCTGAAAAAGCAGGCGTGGCCAGCTTGATTGGGAGGCCACCTCCTCAGGCACTGAGTATGCTTAATCCTGCATCAATTTGAAATCGTCGATGATTGCAACACAATCCCATTTCTATGACCCACCCACAGCGCTCCCAATGAACGTCCGCACGCTATTGCATTGCGCTGCCGCAGCGGATTGCCCGCCCGTCGCACAATGAACCCCATATTTGCAGGAAAGCGTGCAGCCCACGCTTGTAGGCAACTTGGGACACACATGCCGTGAGCCCAGCCGAGGCTTGTGCCCCAGATGGATCTCGTGGGGCCTTCCTAAGGTGCCGAAGACACCACGGGGGCTTGTGGGACCCTCGTTGTTCTGACGGGACTCGTCCAACGTCAGAACAAGCAACGCACAACGTTTCGCTGGCAAGGTCTGGGAGCCTGGCTCCCAAAATGCTACCGCCCCCCTGCGGTCCACGCCGATATTCCCACAACAGCCGCCCTCGCGTCTACGCATGCTTATTTTAAATAAATAATACAGTTTGGGACACCGCAAGCACAAGAACAGCACTCGCAGAAGTGCGATTCCTGCTCCAGAGTGATACCCCGCCCAGATTGGTGCGCTGACCCAACCTATCTGCATATTCATTGACGGGCGCCCTGCCTTGGCGCCGTAATGCGGCCCGTCCTGCGGGCGGCCCTATCGAAGTTCTGAGGTTCTTGGAATACAACAGTACAACTACAAAGGCGGCCCCGGCTCAGCGCTCGTTCGTCGGCCCCTTTGCCTCCCCCCGCTCGACATCTGCGGTCGTCTTGGGCAGATGCGAACGACGGTGGCCTTCCCGCTCCCGCGGCGTGGACGCCTCCACACCCCGCCTGCTGTGGACGCCCCAGCCAAGCATGTAGTCCATGATGGTGCCCAACCTCACTTGCCTCCCGATGGCTGCCCTCTCCTTCGCGCTGTCGAACACCTCGAAGTCCTCCAGGGTTCGAGACGGCACAGGCCGGTGACCGGGAATGCCCTCGTGGGCGGATTTGTACGTCGATCCGCCGATGGACCTGAACCACAATGAAGGGTGTCCTTGATGATTGACTGTGTTTGGGATCCGTATGTGCGCAATTTCCTGAGACTGTGTTCATGACGTTCGCCGACAATTACACAGTATAGGTCATGCACCCACGCGGCGCCTCAGGGAAATACGGTCCCGTCATATTCATCTATATCCGCAATGCTTGCCTGGTCCACTTTTGCCAACAAGTGTAAACAAAACATTGTGCCTCGCGCAAATTTCAGCCCATGTTTCGATGTGCACCAATGCGTGCCACGCACTGCAACGCGTCCACCAACACACGTCACTGTATCTGTGTTTTCAGCCCCTTTCACCAGCGATCGTGCAGTGCAACTGACA